TAGCTGCTCCAAAACTATTGTCCCTTTCTTAAAAGTTCAGTAATTGCTTGCGATTGTGCTTGCTGGCTGTTAAGCATCATCTGCATCATCTGCATAAACTGTTGTTGCTGCTGTTGCTGTTGCTGCATCTGTAACTGTTGTTGATCTCGCAGCTGAGAAAGCAGTGCCTGCTGAGTAGCCATGGTAGCTTCTTCTTGCTTTCTCTTTATCTCTAGCTCATCTTGTCTTAACTTTGATTCCCTCTCTGCTGCCTCCCTGAGATAGCTGAGTGTGTCATTGCTTTTTTGACGTTTTTTTCGCGGTTCATCTTTTCCATTTCGCTTCTTAGTCTGAGCTAGCCGCTCCATAGCCCTCTCCCTCATCTCCTCCCCTGTCGCTTTATCTTGATCCTCCTTGTTTCGATCCTCAGCTGATTCTTTGGTCTGTTTAGCCTCTTCCTCATCTCTTCTCTCTAGATAGTCTTCCATGATCTGATCTATCTCTCGATATTCCTGGGAAATTCCCGAGCCCCTCTCGGCCTCTCTCTTTCTGGCCCTGCAATCCCTTTCTAGGATTTTCAAGCGGTCTCTCAAACCCTTTGGCGAAACGCAAAATTGTGTATCTTTGATGTTATTCAGAATTTTGCATATTTCCTCCAAACAGTTCCCCCGCTCTCTGGTGCCTGAACGGTACTTCCACAGCTCCCAACTAAGGAGTTCGCGACCAAATATGGTGTCATGTTTCAATGACCATTTCATTTTAGACATTCTGTGAAAAGATGATAAAAAATATAACTGTTACTTAATGAATAATCAAATATACCACTAACTAACTAAGGCACCAAATAAATAAATAAAACTTAATTATAGAGCTCTGTGCGAAGATTATTTTTCAATTTAATGCCAACAGGAAAATAGATGCATCAGTTGAGCTTAATTTCTATAAACGTAAGTGTTACCGTTTCAAATCCTGCTTGATAAAGTAGATTATGAGGATATAATGCGCAGCCTAGCATTTTTGACTCCTGCTAACTGTAAATGTAACCCTTTCTCGACAAGCTATTTATTTATGAAATCACACTGGTTGGTTGTTTGTCTCAGGAGCTCGAGAAAAAAATACACAAGACAGACTAACAAAATGTGCTAGCATGGCAGAAAAGAAAGCGCAGCTGTAAGTTGAGAAAAAATTGTGTTCTAAAAGATTAGGCCGGCTATAAGACCACTCAAAACAACAGAGGAAAAATCTGTAGTTAAGCTATCTAGTCCCTGTCGACACGAATGCTAAAAAGCAACTTTTTAGTCCTTTCAAATTCATTTTACACTAGAAAAATGTCTTATATTTCAGTGAAGCGTGATTAAAATGAAAGATTTTTCATACAGCAATTTACTTTTCATTCATACCGTGTCGTGCTTTGACCGCTTTC